TTATTCATAATCAACGTTTTTGGGTTTAGATCGCGTTACCTATAAATGTGACGCAACTCTCCACCACCCGACACGGCCAACCAGCAAAAAAAAAAGCGTCACGTTGACAAAAGACAAATAGTTCACTGCTTTAGCCCACCGGCGTGTTGAAGCGCGAAACCACAACATTTACAATTTTTGAGTAGTACGACGTTTCGCTGGTTATTGCATCCAGCATCATCGGGCAATTTGCCAGAATGGTGAGGCTCTGAGACATGATTAATTGCTAAAAAGTACTTGCTATATGTGTGGTTAATGGAGGATTGATTTCTTACAAATGGATATTGGTATGTGTGTGGTTAATGTAGACATGATTCCTTGCTAATCTTGATTTGAATCTTTCGTGACTGCAGGAATCCATACTCTTTGGTTCTTTCGGTGAAGTCACGTGGGTGACTTTTTTTCTACTTACGTGACTTTACCGAAAGAACCAAACAACACTTGCTATATGCAAGCCAAAACGTCAAACATCAAGGTGCGCACGCGCAGAACACAAGCAGACGGCACCGCTGTTATATCCCTTCCTTAAAGCAATTGCGTCCGTCTGCCCGCGTAGAACAACGGGGATTATTTCTTACGCATCCCATCAAGTTCAAGTTCATGTATTAGGTATAGCCCTGTGAGCCATTCGGCTCTTGAATCGGGTGCAACCGCAACAAAGAAAAACAAAAACATGAACAAAAAACATCTTAAAGTGAATATGTGACTAAGTGCAAACAGAAAATCCGAGAAAAGACAGCAAAATATTGCAGAAAAAAACACCGTACACCAACGCTGTGTGCAAAAACCCCAGTGGGATGCAAGTCAGACACACACAGGGGTGAATTAATTCACTCCAGTAGCAAGCACAAATCTGGTCGTGTGATTGGACACCCGTCAACAGCAGTGTTGAGCCACGCTCTTGAATCGGTGCTCGCGAAACTGACCAGGGGCTTTATTAGGCAAGGGCCGGTTTCGATATTCAATGTCTCATCAGCTGCAGATGCAGACTCTGCTTGAACCAGGGCTAGTGAACTGCCCAGATGTTTCTAGACAAGAATGGGGTTCGACCTTAAGCATCTCATCAGCATTGGCATCAGCATTGGTGAACTACCCAGACCTTCATGGGCAGGGACTGATTTCGACATTCAAAGTCTCATCATCAGCAGCAGCAGTCAGGCTCTGCTTGAAGCAGTGCTCGTGTCGCTGACAGAAATGTGCAGGCAAGTCCACCACTCATCTTGAACACGAATGATCTCACCGAGGTCGCGTCAACAACAAACAAAAAACATCAACAAACCCATCCAATCCACAGCACATAGAGCGCGGTGGTTGGTGGTGGTGGGGGAGCGGTGTGTGGGGGGGGGAGCCCAGGGCGAACCCCACTCAGTGTGGGCCCTGGGGGGAGGTGGGGGGTGGATGGGAGGGGTGGGCTCCCCCCCCCCCAAGGGCGGGGCCCGGGGCGGTTGACCACAAGGTGAGAAGCGGCTCCGAGTGGGCGATTTAACGTCGAATTTTTGGTGCCGCACATTTTAGGGAAATATATGTTTATTTTTCCTACGCAGATTTGTGTTGTTGTTGTTGTTGGTTGTTGTTGTCGTTGCTTCGACTATCACCAGCGGTATGATGTAATGTATCCACTGTACAACTTTATATATCCACTAGCTTTACTACCCGGCTTCGCCCGGGTCTTGGATTCACGACGCCCGGCCGCCTTTGTCTTCCCAGTGGCGATGTTCACACACCACAGCAGTTACTCGTTTGAGGCTTAGTCGCCCTAGGGGAGGCCCAGGAGCGGTTAAAATAATGCTCACCGGTGGTGGCCATGAGCGGGAATCGAATTAGGGTCGTATATCGCGTAAATATAGATAGATGTGTGTCGGTAAACCCGCCACCACCCGACACAGCCAAATAGTAATGGGTTCGTCACGTAAACACAACGTAGCCAATTCGTTAGAGTACAGCACGAGTGTATAGTAGTGTCGTGTATAGTTTAGTGTATAGTGTAGTGTATAGTAGTGTCGTGTATAGTAGTGTAGTGTATAGTGTAGTGTATAGTGTAGTGTATAGTAGTGTAGTGTATAGTAGTGCAGTGTATAGTGTAGTGTATAATAGTGTCGTGTATAGTAGTGTAGTGTATAGTAGTGTAGTGTATAGTAGTGCAGTGTATAGTGTAGTGTATAGTGTAGTGTATAGTAGTGTAGTGTATAGTCACTATACACTACACTACTATACACTACACTATACTATAGTGTAGTGTATAGTGTAGTGTATAGTAGTGTAGTGTATAGTGTATAGTAGTGTCGTGTATTGTGTAGTGTATAGTGTAGTGTATAGTAGTGTAGTGTATAGTAGTGTAGTGAATAGTAGTGTCGTGTATAGTGTAGTGAATAGTAGTGTAGTGTATAGTAGTGCAGTGTATAGTGTAGTGTATAGTAGTGTCGTGTATAGTAGTGTAGTGTATAGTAGTGTAGTGTATAGTAGTGTCGTGTATAGTAGTGTAGTGTATAGTGTAGTGTATAGTAGTGTAGTGTATAGTTGTGTAGTGTATAGTAGTGTAGTGTATAGTAGTGTAGTGTATAGTAGTGTCGTGTATAGTGTAGTGTATAGTAGTGTAGTGTATAATTGTGTAGTGTATAGTAGTGTAGTGTATAGTAGTGTAGTGTATAGTAGTGCAGTGTATAGTGTAGTGTATAGTAGTGTCGTGTATAGTAGTGTAGTGTATAGTAGTGTAGTGTATAGTAGTGTCGTGTATAGTAGTGTAGTGTATAGTGTAGTGTAGAGTAGTGTAGTGTATAGTTGTGTAGTGTATAGTAGTGTAGTGTATAGTAGTGTAGTGTATAGTAGTGAAGTGTATAGTAGTGTCGTGTATAGTGTAGTGTATAGTAGTGTAGTGTATAGTAGTGTAGTGTATAATTGTGTAGTGTATAGTAGTGTAGTGTATAGTAGTGTAGTGTATAGCAGTGTAGTGTATAGTGTAGTGTATAATTGTGTAGTGTATAGTAGTGTAGTGTATAGTAATGTAGTGTATAGTGTAGTGTATAATTGTGTAGTATATAGTAGTGTAGTGTATAGTGGTGTAGTGTATATCAGTGTAGTGTGTAGTGTAGTGTATAGTAGTGTAGTGTATGGTAGTGTAGTGTATAGTGTAGTGTATAGTAGTGTAGTGTATAGTGGAGTGTATAGTAGTGTAGTGTATAGTGTCGTGTATAGTGTCGTGTATAGTGTAGTGTATAGTAGTGTAGTGTATAGTGGTGTAGTGTATAGTGTATAGTGTAGTGTATAGTGTAGTGTATAGTAGTGTAGTGTATAGTAGTGTAGTGTATAGTGTACTGTATAGTAGTGTAGTGTATCGTAGTGTAGTATATAGTAGTGCAGTGTATAGTACGGTAGTGTATAGTGTAGTGTATAGTGTAGTGTAGTCTATAGTGTAGTGTATAGTAGTGTAGTGTATCGTAGTGTAGTATATAGTAGTGCAGTGTATAGTAGTGTAGTGTATAGTGTAGTGTATAGTAGTGCAGTGTATAGTAGTGTAGTGTATAGTAGTGTAGTGTATAGTAGTGTAGTGTCTAGTAGTGCACTATATAGTAGTGTAGTGTATAGTGTAGTGTATACTATACACTACACTATACACTACACTACTATATAGTACACTATACACTGTATAGTGTAGTATTCTAGTACAGCACATCTCGGTCATGTCAGTCAGTCGACCCATGGCACCCGCAGGGTCTGTCCCGTGACCTCGTGCCAGCGGGCGTTCGACACTTCACGTGGCCTTAAACGTGCACCTAGCCTGGCACAAGCGTCGTGGGTTGTTGTTGTGTCAGAGTGTACGTTCCCTCCGTGAGCGTGTGTCAGTGCGTGTGTCAGTGTCTGTGTCGTGGCGGCCAACACCAGTGACGATTATCCGAACCGGTCCTGTGCCTCCCCTAGGTCGACTCAGCCTCAACTGAGTACCTGGTGCGGTGTGTAGTAAACATCGCCACTAGGGGAGACAAAGGCGGTCGGGCGTGGTTCTGGCCACCCATCGTCTCGTGTACCGTTCCGGCATGAACAGGTGCTCGCTAACAGCACTTGCCCCAACAGTAAGTTAAGGCTATACGGGTGATCTTTGTTTTTATATCTGTAAATATATTATGAAACACCAGTTGACGATTGTCTGAACCGGTCCTGGGCCTCCCCTAGGTCGGCTCGGCCTCAAATGAGTTTCCGGTGCAGTGTGTAAACATCACCGCCACTGGGGGAGACAAAGGCGGTCGGGCGTGGTGCTGGCCACCCACCCCCTCGTGTGCCACAGCACCGGGATCCTTCATAGGTGCTTCTGCTCGTTAACAGCACTTGCCCCAACAGTCTTCTCGGTCTTCACGGGGCATCTTTGTCTTTGTGGGATCTTTCGAAACTCATGACGAGAGGATGCGTGGTAAAGGGTTGAACGTTACGTGATTACTTTATTCGAGTGTGATGTGATTATGATGTTGATGATGATCATGATGATATTGATGATGCAAATGTTCGTGATTGCGATGTATGTATGTACAACTTCTTTCGCAACGTACGTAGCCAACCGTGCTGTGTGTGTGTTGAACTTCTTTCGCACCGTACGTATCCAACTGCTGCTACTCCAGCTGCCGCCGCTGCTCCAGCTGCTGCTGCCACTGCTGCTGCTGCTCCAGCTGATGTTCCTATAGCTGCTCCAGCTGGTGCTGCTGCTTCTACTCCAGCTGTTCCTACTGCTGCTGCTGCCACTGCTGCTGCTACAGCTGCTGCTTCTACTCCAGCTGTTCCTGCTGCTGCTACCACTGCTGCTGCTACAGCTGCTGCTTCTACTCCAGCTGTTCCTGCTGCTGCTACCACTGCTGCTGCTACAGCTGCTGCTTCTACTCCAGCTGCTGCTGCTGCCACTGCTGCTGCTCCAGCTGCTGCTTCTACTCCAGTTGCTGCTGCTGCCACTGCTGCTGCTTCTACTCCAGCTGCTGCTTCTACTCCAGCTGTTCCTGCTGCTGCTGCCACTGCTGCTGCTACAGCTGCTGCTTATACTCCAGCTGCTGCTACAGCTGCCGATGCTGCTGCTCCAGATGCTCCAGCTGCTGCTTCTACTCCAGTTGCTGCTGCTGCCACTGCTGCTGCTTCTACTCCAGCTGCTGCTTCTACTCCAGCTGCTGCTTCTACTCCAGCTGTTCCTGCTTCTGCTACCACTGCTGCTGCTACAGCTGCTGCTTATACTCCAGCTGCTGCTACAGCTGCCGATGTTGCTGCTCCAGATGCTCCAGCTGCTGCTTCTACTCCAGTTGCTGCTGCTGCCACTGCTGCTTCTACTCCAGCTGCTAATACTGCTGCCACTGCTCCAGCTGCTGCTTATTCTACTACAGCTGTTGCTGCCACTGCTGCTGCTCCAGCTGCTGCTGCATCTACTCCAGCTGCTGCTACAGCTACCGATGCTGCTGCTCCAGATGCTCCAGCTGCTGCTTCTACTCCAGTTGCTGGTGCTGCCACTGCTGCTGCTGCTGCTGCTTCTACTACAGCTGCTCCAGCTGCTGTTGCATCTACTCCAGCTGCTGCTACTGCTTCTACTCCAGCTGCTGCTACAGCTGACACTGCTGCTGCTCCAGCTGTTCCTCCTTCTACTCCATCTGCTCGTGCTGCTGCTGAGCTACCACCTTGCCGCGGAACCTCTGGAACGCCACCCGCCTGATCTCGCTCATGCGAAGCCCGTAGATGACGGGGTTGAGGGTGCAGGGCAGCATGTAGTGGAGCACGTGGAACGAGAAGCGCGCCTCGGCCGCGCGCGACTCGGGGAACGGGAAGCTGTTGACGAACGACACGAGGATGGAGACGAAGTAGACGCCGGCCACCATCAGCTGGGTGACGCACGCGTGCACAGCCCGCCGCTGGGTGGCGCGTAGCCCCGGACGCCGGAACTCGAGGAGCACGCGCGCGTAGGCGACGCTCACGATGGCGGCCGGAGCTGCGACGTAGATGGCGAGCGTCGCGTAGCCGTAGGCGACGTGGCCGGCGACGTCACCGCAGGCGACGTGCACGAGGCCGAGGTAGTTGCAGACGGGCACGGGGATGGCGACGGGTCGGCAGAAGTCGAGGCGAAGGACTCCGACGACGTTGGCGAGGCAGAGGAGGACGACGAGGGCCGCCGCGGACGCGAGCGAGGCCGCCGCGCGCGCGTTCGTCACGAGGGCGCCGTAGCGCAGCGGGTGGCCGATGGCGACGTAGCGGTCGAGCGACATGAGGCACAGGGTGGAGGTCTGCATGCGGAGGGTGGCGTGCGCGACGAACATCTGCGCGACGCACTCGCCCAGCGGGATGGCGACGGCTCCGAACGTCGAGCGCGCGAGAGCCGGCAGGCTGTTGGTGGCAGCGACGAGATCGACGCCCGACATGGCGCACACGAGGAGGTACATGGGGCGGTGGAGGCGCCGGTGAGCGCAGATGGCGAGGCAGAGGAGGGAGTTGCAGACGAGCGCGGAGGCGTACGCGGCCAGGTAGAGGGAGAAGGAGAGCCACCGGGCGGCGGGCGGCTCGCTGAAGGGGTTCCTCAGCTCGATGGTGAGGTCGCTGGCATTGCCCTGCGGCGCGTTCGGCGGAGGTCTGGTTGGTGGTGGTGGTGGGAGGGGGGTGGAGGAGACAGAGGAGGAGGAGGCAGAGGAGGAGGAGACAGTAGAGGTGGGGGAACAGGAGGAGGGGTGGATGAGGAGGAGGAGGCAGGAAGAGAATGAGTCAATTTTATGTTTGTACACAAACGCACACACGCATGCCTTTCTGGCACAAATCTGCCACTCAAAGCGCCATCATCAGCATGAATTCTCAAAGTGCAGAAACATCGGCTATTGTATATATGTGGTAGTGGCGTAACGCGCGGGGCTTGTAAACAGCGGGTGCATTTGAGGGCGAGCAGGTGTAAGCGTCAAGACACGGAGGTGCCGCGAGATATGCGCCAGCAATTAGGGGGAGAAGCAGTACTTCAACAGTTTTTTCTTGCGGTGATTGTACCACCTGATGATGATTGCTTGTGTTGCAATCGAAACGTCGTGATGTATTATTTTTTTCTAAAAAGCAATTTTCTTGCTGTGGTCGTCCCACCTGATGACGATTGCTTGTGTTGCGATCGAAACGCCGTGGTCTATGATGTTTCTACCCACGTGACTTTACCCAGAGACACCAAAGAGTATGGAGAAGCAGTAATGAAGCGGGTGCATTTGGGGGCAGGCAGGCAGGTGCATGCGTGCGTGGGGGAACAAGGGGTATTCGTCGGAGAGACGGGAGATGTTGAGAGAGAGAGAGACAATGTACAGGAGGCGCCGCTGAGGTGCCAGCTTAATGGAGGGTAACCGAGGACCAGAGGTCGCAAACGGGTTTTGATTCTCGATTCAAAGCTTCTTCGTGACTGCAGCAGGGATTCATCTTCTTGGTTCTTTCGGTAAATTCACGTAGAAGGGAAATAATAAAATAAAAAAAATAAAAATAATTAAATTATTCTAACGACGTTTCGGCCACAACGCAAGCAGCCGTCCTCAGGTGAAGAACAGGTCTGTCGGGGAGACAGCGTCTGAATGAAACACCACCAGGCTTGGTAGCATATATTTAAGCTGGGTTGAAAGGGGGGGAAGAGCGCCTTGACAAAAGAATTTGCATATCAAGAGGGATTTAGCATATTTATGGGAAATGCAGGTATGTGCTTAGTACTACTTGTGAAATGCGCACACCTCCTACGCCAAGAAGAAGGGGTTTTGATTCCTTACCCGTACCCGTACCCGGCCGCACCAGGGTCGCAAACGGGTACCCGTACCCTACCCGATACCCGGCTACCCGTACCCGGCCGGGTATCGAGTAGGGTACGGGAACGGGTACCCGATTGCGACCTCTAGGATGAAGCCATGTTGCAGGCGCGGGTGGGTTGATTCTAGGAACTTGAATTGTGAGAAGAGACAAGACGTTGGGAAATGAGTGACAAACGGTTACTCACCAGTGACTCACGGCCTACCCGTTCCCGTACCCAGCCGCACCAGGGTCGCAAATGGGTACCCGTACCCGTACCCTACCCGATACCCGGCTACCTGTACCCGGCCGGGTATCGGGTAGGGTACGGGTATCGGGTACCCGATTGCGACCTCTGGGATAAAGCCATGTTGTAGGCGCGGGTGGGTTGATTCTAGGAACTTGAATTGTGAGAAGAGACAAGACGTTGGGAAATGAGTGACAACCGGTTACTGACCAGTGACTCACGGCCTACCCGTACCCGGCCGCACCAGGGTCGCAAACGGGTACCCGTACCCTACCCGATACCCGGCTACCCGGGTATCGGGTAGGGTACGGGTATCGGGTACCCGGTTGCGACCTCTGCTGAGGATCCTTAATGAGGAGGGGGATATAAGGCTGGGTGGTTGTTGGTTGCAGCTGAAGGGATGAAGGAGACAAGACTCATGGAGAAGAAGCCTGGGACCTCGCCCTCCACAGCCAATGCTGCTGGGGGCAAGGACGAGGGTGGAAGTGCGAGAGAAGAGTGACAGGCTAGCGGAGTATAGAGTGACATCTTGATTTGAAGCGTTCGTGACTGCAGGGATCCATACCCTTTGGTTCTTTCGGTAAAGTCACGTAGGTAGAAAATAAAATAAATCATGCCACTTCCGTACCATCGTCTAGGAGGCCGCTCTCCTTCTATCTTACAGCGACATGTTAATTTCTCACATTAACATCACCAGCCCCGGCCACTTATTTATGACCCTTGGGCTACACCCATTTCAAACCTTTTAAAACAGTCTGCCTCAGCAGCAGACCATGCTTTCCCACCTGACGACGGACGCTTGTGTTGCGCCCGAAACGTCGTGATTTATTTTATACCTACGTGACTTTACCGAAAGAACCAAAGAGTATAGAGTGACAGGCTTAGTGGAGTATAGAGAAAGGGAGTTCAGAGCAAGGGTAATTAGGGTAAGGACGAGGGTGGAGGTGCGAGAGAAGAGTGACAGGCTAGCGGAGTATAGAGTGACATCTTGATTTGAAGCGTTCGTGACTGCAGGGATCCATACCCTTTGGTTCTTTCGGTAAAGTCACGTAGCTCTTTTGCCTATTTCAGCAACTGCTTTTTGCTGTGGTTGTCCCACCTGATGACGGACGCTTGTGTTGTGTCCGAAACGTCGTGATTTAATTTAGTTTATTTTCTTTACCTACGTGACTTTACCGAAAGAACCAAAGAGTATAAATGTGGACGTGTTTCTACTGGGTTTGTTTATGCACGACAAAGGGCTGGTGTGATCTTTAATAACAAAAAGCCCTACATTCACTTTGAAAATTGGTTAAATAAAGAATGGCATAACCCTGTTGTTTGATCTGTTAAAAATAAAGCGTCTCCTGAATTTTGGGCAACCCTCTAAATATATGAGCACATAAAGACAAAGATCCCCCGTCTAACATAAACAGACTGTAGGGGCAAGTGCTGTTAGCGAGCACCTATGAAGGCCGGAACGATACACGAGGGGGTGGGTGGGTGGCCAGCACCACGCCCGACCGCCTTTGTCTCCACAGTGGCGATGTTTACACACCACACCAGGTACTCATTAGAGGCTGAGTCGACCTAGGGGAGGTCCAGGACCGGTTCAGATAATCGTCACTAGGTATTGGCCGTGATCGGGAATCGAACCCTGGTCGCCGGGTTCATAGAGCAGCGTAGCGCTAACCGCTACACTACCGCTCCTCACATAAAACACACAAACACACATCACCCGATGGGTGCTAATGTCTTCAATGTATTGTTTATATTCTCATTATTGTCAACATCTATTTGTTTTCTTCTCTTTCACGTGTGACGTTGAGAAAATTGGAAATAACACGTTTGGAAGTACTCAGATTGTAAATTGTGTGGATTTACTCACCAAAACACTGCACGAATAACGAATTGGTATGTTCTTTTTAAGTGACAAACCTTACTAATTGGCTGTGTCGGGTGGTGGCGGGTTTAACGACGCATATTTGCGAGATCTAACCCAAAAACAACCTGCATTATTGATGATATTGTTCACGAAAGCCTACGTGTTCAACATAACATTGTAGCTCAGCGCAAGCGAGTTTCAACCCACCATGATGGGCGCGACAGAGGGCAGCTGCAATCTTTAAAACCAAACGAAACTAAAAGGACGTGTTATAATTGTTGCGATAAATTGTTACGATAATTGCCGATTGGAGAATGTATCATTGGGACATCAATCTTGATTTTAAGCTTTCGTGACTGCAGGAATCCATACTCTTTGGTTCTTTCGGTAAAGTCACGTAGGTAAAAAATTTAATAAATTACGACGTTTGATCGCAACAAATATAATCCAGCAGTGGAATTGTTTTCCGTCTAAGGACGACCGCTTGTGTTGCGATCGAAACGTCGTGATTTATTTTATTTATAGCTACATGACGTTACCGAAATAACGCAATGCGCTAACCGCTGCGCCACCGCTCCCCAAGTGTGTATGTGGGTGGCCCCGTGGTGAGATGTTAACTACCTCGCCTGGTCTACAGGAGGTCGTGGGTTAGATCCCGAACCTGACGACGCCTGCTGCTGTATATTTGGAGTCTGAGTGTCTCTCTCATCATCGTCACGGTGGCGAGGAGATGTTAACTACCTCGCCTCGTCTACAGGAGGCCGTGGGTTCAATACCGTTCTGACGATGCCTGCTGCTGTATATATTTGGAGTCTGCGTCTCTCTCTCTCATCATCATCACGGTGGCTAGAAGATGTTAACTACCTCGCCTGGTCTACAGGAGGTCGTGGGTTAGATCCCGACCCTGACGACGCCTGTTGCTGTTTATTCGGAGTCTGCGTGTCTCTCTCTCTCTCTCATCATCATCATCACGGTGACTAGGATATGTTAACTACCTAGCCTGGTCTACAGGAGGTCGTGGGTTAGATCCCGACCCTAACGACGCCTGCTGCTGTATATTTGGAGTCTGCGTGTCTCTCTCATCATCATCACGGTGGCTAGAAGATGTTAACTACCTAGCCTGGTCTACAGGAGGTCGTGGGTTCAATACCGATCTTGACGATGCCTGCTGCTTTATATTTGGAGTCGACGTCTCTCTCTCTCTCGCTCGCCATGGTCGCGTGGATTTTTCTCCGGGACCTGCGGTTTCTCCCCCCTCCACGTTTAGAATCGACATCTCTACGCGTTCAGAGCGTGTTGGATGCTGCTATGAATTTCCACGCGATGATGATGATGATGAGCCGCTGCCGTCTGTGATGGCTAGGTTTTCATTTCTGAAAAGGAGCTACCACATCGCTCAGTGGCGCCTTAAGCTTGGCAAAATAAAATAAAAAGTTTCGGTTTTTTTGTCGTATATATGAGACAAAAAACAAATACTCTTAGTTTTTTTGGTAAAGTCACGTAGGTAAAACAATCAATGAAATATCAATAAAAAAGCATTTTAGTTTAGTTGTTTTCATTTATTTTATTTTATTGATTGTTTTACCTACGTGACTTTACCGAAAAAACCAAAGAGTATGAATCCTTGCTGTCACGAAAGCTTCAAATCTAGAACAAAAAACAAAGATCACCCATATAGCATTAACAGACTGTTGGGGCAAGTGCTGTTAGCGAGCAGCACCT